GGTTTTGCCCGCGCGCCGGCGGCGGTGCAGCTTTCAAATAAGGTGGTGTGCATTCACCATCCCCGTCACGGCGGTTTGTGTTTTTCCCCCCCAATCACCCCCCCCCCCCCCCCCCCCCCCCCCCCTTCCCCTTTTCTGGCGATTGAGCAGGTGTTATTTTCGAGGTATACCCCGACCTCACTTCTCTCTATTTTTAGGTCATCCTTGACTGACTCTTATTGATAAATTAAGTGTGACCTGGCTCAGGCCCGGATGCGTTACGCCTATTTGAAGACGTGCGGGGTGTGCGTCGCGCGTGCGTCACGGGGCGCGTCGGCGAGTTCGGGGATTACGCCGAGTGGCTAGAGCGTACGATGATGTGCGAACCTGGAATTAAGGTAGAGCCGTTCTCCTGGAATGCGGGTAGCTAAGATCCATGCACTTTATCTATCCTTAAAAGAGGTACGTGGCATAATACGCTACGTCGAGAAGATAGGGTATTAGACTAAGTAACCGTTTAATAATTATTTGTACGATTCGCAATCTGCTCAACGCAAGACTTATGGTGCTCCGATGGTCTCTGAGATATACACAACATAAAAACCCCCAAAAGGGCTGTTTTTCTTGTATCTCTAACTTTCTTCAAGAATCATCTCGAAGGTCACGATCCATCCTGGCGCACCGTTTTAGCTACTTACACAAGATGCCAAACCTGGCCATGACCACCATCCACTTTGGTCGTCTTAGAAAAAGTAAAATACAAGATATTCCTTCGCTATGTTCGCAAACGCCATTTTCATGCAATCGTCTCCCAAAAAAACATCTCAAAGGGAATATGAGAATTGCAAAAATGTTCTACATAGTGTATCATTAGGACTTCCCACCACCGAGGAACGTAGGTATTGTCTTCCAAGTCTGCTGGTCGGGGAGTTTAACGCGGCCGAAGTTCTCGTCAAGGTCGAGAATGATCTTCAGAGCGTTTCGGCTGCGAGCATGAGGTGATGTGATATCCTTCTCCTTGATCGTTTCTACGACATCCGCAACACCAGTGTGAACTTGTTCCGGCTTGGGCTTTCCAGGGAACGGCAAAATGCTCTGGAGAACTTCGTAGGACGCAAGCGTGAAACCGAATTGGGGGGAAGATCGGAGGATACGAGCAGGGCCACCCTTGAAGAAAGCACGGAAGCCTTCCTCCTTCATGATCGTCACCGCTGCGTGTCGTAGGCCGGTGTAGTTAGTGTCACCCTTACGTGCTTCAACTTGTAGACGGGTCTTGATCACATCGCAAGGTGTAGTTAAGTAAGCAGCGGGCATACCAGCGATGGCACCTGCTGTGAGAAGTTGGAGAATTCCAAGCTTCTTGGTGGGAGATTCGCCAAAGACATCCTTCTTGAGGTGGCTATATGTAGGGAAGTAGATGGCCGAGAAAGGCACATCACGAAGTAAGCAAGCTGAGGCACCTTTATAAAGTCCTGCAAGACCCAAGTTCTTAACAATCCACATTGCAGAGCGCTTTGGGGCGCCTTGTGTGCTCTTCGCGACCTCTCCCTGGACTTGCAGTCGGATCTTGACGATTTCAAGAGGATTGGTAAAAACCTACAAATTATAAATTAGCAAAAACCCGGATCGAAGCCTAGGAAAAGCAGTAGAAGATTAACCGTGGTAGACTTACAACTTGACAGGCACCAGCAGAACCACCAGCTAGAACCTCATGTCCCCAATGAATTTGGCGTGTCTCCGGGTCCGTGAAAAAGCCACGGACGAGATCATTCACTGTAAGCTTGATAGCCTTCTCCGGGGCAACACCAACTAGCTGAGGCAGAACACCGGAGTACAGACCGCGGAAACCCTCATTTGCGATAACCTTTCTGAAACAGTCGACTGAGTTCTTGTATAAGCGTTGTCCAGGATCGGCACCTCGCTGGTTTTGCATTCGGGTCTTGACCAGATCAATAGGATACACCATAAAAGCTCCAAAAGCACCAGCGGCACTTCCCAACAGAAAGTTGTAGGCGGATTCTGCGGCTTGTAGGAAGAAGCTTTGTGTGGCAGTCTTTGCCTTTTGTGATCCTAGACTTTGCCCGGCCCGTTCCGCAATATTGCGGTATCTCCACAATGGATCTAGAACCTTAGCAAAGTCGGCCAAACTCAATCGGCCGGACGGTTCGTCCAGACTAGCAAAGTGAAAGAGAATATCTGCCTCCATCGGGGTGAATAATGAGAAACGAGTGATTTTTGCTGCCTCGTTCAGAAATTCAGATTTGGTAATCTTTCCATCGCCACTCTTCTTGCAAGCCTGGCGTATAATCAACTCCACCAAGTCCATCTCCATGATGACATTCTGAAAAGCCCGGACATTTGCGTAAGAAATCCTGCTGCCAGTGGATATGTTGCAGAGGGAAGTAAGGTTGTCCAAGAGATGGTCGGACAGCTTGTGCTTTGCGGTCTCAAGGATAATTCTTGCAAAGTCCTCAGGCTCAATGTATCCATCTTTGTCCTTATCGAAGAGCTGGAAGGCTTGTCTGATTCTCTCACCCTGAAGACCGCGGAGCATCTGTGAGAACTCCGAGTATGAGAGGTCATGGCGCTTGGATTTGTCACCAATATATAATTTTGCCCACTCACAATCCCAATTAAAGGGAATGCCGTCAGGACCTTTATTGCTTTCATAGAGACGTCGAAAGTCCTCGTACGTAACACTTCCGGTGCGACCAATGTCAAAGAGGCGGAACGCGATCTCGTACTCGGCGTCGGGTTTTGTCAATAGGTTCTCGAAGGCGGCCCAGTCGTGAAGTGTCACCTTACCAGTGCCTTGACGGTCCGCTACGCAAAAGAGGAGGCCATATTGATCGCGACTGATTTTGTGCTATAGAGAAGAGCAGGAAGTTAGCAATTGGTCTTTCTTTTCTTTGCTTTTTTTTCTCTTTTTTTTTCCTTTAACTCACGTAGTCTTCGCTAGGCGGGGCAATAGCCTCGATGAACTCTTCAGGTCCCATATACAACTCTCCAGTTTCTTCATCTTTCTTCGCATTCTGTAAGAATAAAGTTCGGTGGGAAGTCGATAGGTCGGAGGGCTCCTGAGTACCCAGGAGGCTCTCTTTGACCGCTTCCTTCACAATTGTAGTTTTGGACATTTTGTGGTAGTTGGTTTGCGACGCAAAAGAAGACGCCTATCGGTGGTGATAAAGCACTAGGTAAACCAGGGAGTAAATAGGTAATAATGTGGCTTATCGATTAGCGCGCCGAATTGAAAAAAAAAAAAGAAAGCCAACTCTGAGTAATAATTCACGATCGTCGATTGTGGAGCGCCGATGTAAGGAGTGAATATGAACGACTGGTGAATCCGGAGAACCTGGGGTTCGGACGGGCGGAAGTACTAGAGTAAAATAAGAAAAGTGAAAGAAACCAGTAAACGAAACGTCAACATTGACAAAAGACGTAATTAATTGATACTGAAGACGATGTGATTTCTTCTCTTTTTTTTTCCTTTTTTCTTTTTTTAGGGCGCAAAGACGTTAAAATCGCAGGGTCGTGAAGATTAGGGAAAAAAAAAAAAAGTTCAGCAGAGTGATTTAATTTTTTTTTTCTAAGACGGCGCCTGAGATCCGCGAACACGGGAAGGTACCTACCTAAGTTAGTTTTAGTTAGGTACCTTACCAATGAACAAACATGGGTAGCATGACTTAGCCGCACCTACCTCAAACCTAGACTTAAAGAAACTCTTTTTAGACTCTCTGACTCTTTAGCATTCCATACATACAGGTATGTACCTGGTATGTTCCTAGTATGTTCCTGACCGTAACTTCAGGTAAGTTTGGTCCTAATCGGCTCGAATTTCCCGCTGGAGGTAAATTCCCCGTGCTGTACGTAACTTCCTATTTGCTTCATTGTTCCTCCGATCGATAAGATATCCACAAAGTCCTTATCGCCGAAACTGCGCTGGCACTTCCGTCTGCCCTACGGGCAACGCTAATGCTGATTTTAGTTAGGTCATCCTTTTGGTCATCCATTTGGCCATCCATTTGGCCATCCTTTGGTCCTGCACCTCACAAAGAATGCAATATGCTTTGCGAGCCTAGAAGCAAAAGACGAGGAAGGACCCTCTCAACTTGCGTAACCCATGCTCCCCAATAGCCTAGACCAAAGCCTACTATGTAAACCAAAGACGCCATTATTAATAAGTCTTCGCAACGGGGTTGGGAATAAGTCATCTCAGATCACCGTTTGAAAATTTGGCAATGCTGTATTGATTGCTGGAATCCGTTGAGATAGGTCTCCGATAGAGCGGCGTGGAAGGCTGGGTACCTTATATACACGATTGATCGATTAAATAAGTTGGGGTAAATGTCAATCCTTCCTATGATGGTCGCTCGAATTGTCAGTATGCATTCGAATACAATGATTTGTTGAATCTCGAACGGAAACCCGTTGAGAGACGACCACTACCAGCAACTCTCCCAGGTAAACCTGAGTAATCCCCGCACATCTTCCCCATATGGAACGCGTCGGACTCCTTATCGGACTCTCTTTGATACATCTTAGCAAGACAAAAATAAAGACGGACTTAGTGGGGTAGAGATAGAATATTGTGAACTACACAGAATGGAATCTGAAAATTTCAGCGTAGGTAACTTCAAAAGAATTAAGTTGAAGGGGCTTGTAATTCTTTAATGCTAAGCGGCCGGCTCATATATCAAGTTGGCCTACCTACCTCCTAAGGTAGGTATGTTACATTTTCGAAGAACCTCTTGGCGGGGGACCCCGTGTGTCCTCGGCAAAATACAACTCCCCCAAATCTCACGAGCAATGCGCGTCACATATGATATACGTACGATCCGCAAGCGGTTAACGGCAAATTGAAACGAGCACGTAACATAGGATAAGGTGATTTTAATATACGCAACGGCATATACCTACCGATAGAGCATAATCATTAATTAAACCTACCTTCCTTGCGAACCGATGGAACCCATTGTATATCCTGGCGAGTACTACTATTAATTGATTAGGTATGAATATTATGCACAACTTAGAGAGGTGTAAAGGAACTCTAAAACCACTAAGTACTGGCGTAAACTGTTCCGCCTAAGAAAAATGTAGACCTCTAGCACCTTACCGGAGATGTTAAGAACATACATGCAAGGCTTCTTTTTATAGTTCATTATACGATAGCAACGCTATTGATTCACGAATAAAACGACGTTTATCAGTTGGTATTAGAGCTAAGTTGAAACAATCCTAGTAATATAATGAGAATATTACAAGCTTAAAGTGGAAATGAACAACCACAGAAGTCAGGTATTAGTCAAGGGAAATTTAAAGTCTTATGTAACTAGTTGAGAAGCCTTTTTTACGTAAGTCATGGTTTCCTAATCTATCTACGTACCTAGATCTATATGCTAAGTAATAACTACCACACACACGAGGCGTAGAAGGTATTAGTAGGTAGGGATCCGGACATGAGTAGGCTTAAAATAACAACTGTATAATAATAATTTCTATAAGGCAAAAAAAAAAAAAAAAAAAAAAAAGAATACATCGTAGAGGAAGTCAGTTAGGTTACCGCAGTTTCGCAAACATATAAGTGGTGATATGCAGAGTTGTATATATGTGCAGTAGTTAAAATACCGAATCCGTTACCTGTTCAGAGTATGTGCATGTAGGAGGTAGACAAGTGCGTGTACGTAAGATGTTTGTTTGCAATAATATAGAGTGTACCAACGGAAACCTAGGAAGGTACCTGATTCATCCCCGCCTTTCTCCTTCCACATAATAGAAAATAACGAGGCCATTATAGAAGGAAACACTCGGAGAGAAACTAGAAGGTACCTAAGGCTGACCGTGCGCAAATGTATAAGTTAGGCATTGAGCCAGCCATTATTTGATCGTCTATCTATGAAAGAGAAGCTGTATAGTCATCATCTATCAAGATTGGTAACATCATTCTTCATTATATTTCAACGTAATGGTAGGAAGACTAACAGTTAGTTCAAGAGCCGCATGGTCTGGAACAAGAATTATTCTTCGTCAGGTTTCCCCGGAGTCTATAGACATCTTTGAATTTATATTCGAGCTTCATAGATCCTGCGGTGGCGACTGGAATCAACTCCTTGTGGACTACGGAGTCGCTGAGGAAGACCTTGGAGCATTTCTCCAGTTCGCAGCCACCTTCTTGTCCAATATCGGAAACTATTAGCGAAAGGAGGGCGAGTGATTTATATTAGGAGCCTGCTCAAACTTTAGCAATATAGACATGAGAATGCATACCAAAGTTCAAAGCTAAACATCAATATATACCTAGGTAATTCTTGACGCCAATTTTCCAGGCCGCTAATCGAGGCGTTTTGGGGGTTGTTAGCTGCATCTCGTTGTCTTATGCCAAACCTTCAATTCCTACCTACCTGTAACTAGGTACCTAAGGTACTTAGGTTAGTTAGAGACTTACTCTGTATTCTACGTCTTATCATATATGTGCACTTGTAACACGGTATATGTGATATAATGTTTGGTATTGGTATATCAGAGGTACATGCTGCGAGGGAGACTGTGGTTGAAACCCCGCATCATTTAAGATGCTGGATCTTGATGACGTGAACAATGTTGTCGTCGATTTATTACCCCTTTTAATATGGATATTATATAGTATTAAGCGATTGGTTTAGTAAATTAGGAACGGCATGGAGAAGTAAGGATGATATCTATTAGGTACTTAGGCATTTAGCGAAACTTGTTTCTAGTCAACGAAGAAAAAGAATAAGAGTCCTCTGTGGCATCAGGCGTTAGAAAGATATAAAAAAGAACTAGACGGCAATGGTGATTATTGGAGATGGATCAGCCAGTAGTTACTGTATACCAGCTAGTCCGATCAGCTGCTATTCGCAGACTACCCAATTCAGATCGGCCAAGATACTTCGATGCGGGAATGGGTAGGCTGAATGAGGCTAAAGAGATGCTCGGGAGGTGTCCCTCTTTGAAAGACTTCACAGATGAGACATTCTTGAATACGGGTAACCCACGCTTCTCTGGCGGCATGGTGCTTTTGCCCCGTATTTGACTTAGAGGAGGACGAGCAGACGACGCGTTGCGACTGGCATCGAAAGCGCTCGCGTTTCGTCAGAAGCTCTTAGGCAACCGACTAAAGACCTGCGATTCCTTATATAATGTAGCGTGCATCCCACACCTACAGGGACATTCCGCCTCTGCCGTGTAAGTGTTTAGTTTCAACTTCCAACCTTGAGCGCTCTCGTCAACTAATTTCGTCAAAGTGAGTTTCTGAGGCGACTCATAGGCATTTCGGAGTCTCTGAACGAAGATAAAGGTCAACTAGCTCGTGCTCTGTATAAAATATCATTAATATACGCAGAGAAAGGGGTTGCGGTAGAGAACCAGGCCTGCAAGACGCGAGCGATAGAAATCAGGGCGGACTTGCGACCGGACGAGGGGGGCCAGCCTTTCGAAGAGGAGTATTTTTCCAAACTGACACTGTGGATGCTGTGGAAATCGCGAACGCGAAGGTTACTACGGTACAATCCTGACTCTATGACTCAATTATGCAGAAGCCTTGGGTAGGTCTTGTTAAAGGTATGGCAAATGAGTGTGGGAATGCGTCCGAGTTTAGGAAAAAGAATTTCCACTGAGACAATGATAATCATTAGATACCAAACTTCTATATTTGCTAGGATCGCAAAAATCAGGTACCTCTGATGTTTCTTTCACTTGATATAGTAACCAGACTATATTAATAGAGAGGGCATTGAGTTACATTGTCTAGAAAGAAATGTCTTTGGATCCAGTAACAAGATACTTCTCTATGGTTGAGATATTAGACCAATGTCCAAAATCCATCCTTGATTTCAATCTTAATCTCTCTACCCTCGTCTATACTCCGTCGACCGGCCTCGAGGATAGCCGTCGTCGCAATCGTGTTGTTTAGCGTTGGAAGCCCTCTCGCATCCAGATCAGCGGGCTTGAGCTCCCCTGAGTTTACCGCTCGACATCCATCCACGAATTTCTCGAAGGAGATATAGCCGTATCCGGTCTGGCCACCGAAGTTGCCCTCTTCATCGGGTGCATATTTCATGTAGAATGGGTTGTACCACACGAGCTGGCCGGCACTATCGTCCGCGACGTCGTACCCACGCTTAGCCTGATTAATACGAATCTCGCCACCCGACCCCATGTAATGGAAATACTGGTTGGAGTGCACGCCAGCTTTATGTGGTGCGGTCCATGATGCTGTATAGACTCCTGTAGCAACTTTACTCGTGTCACCTTGTTTCTGCCAGGTGACCATGACCGTGATGGTGTCCTCAGTAGCCTCATTGCATCCAAGGCTAGTAGCAATACCTTTCGCAGCTGATGCTGCTACCTTTATAGGGACGAATCCGAGCTGTGAAACCATCGAGTCGCAAACATCTATATGATGGCTATTCAGATAATACGAGATATCAGAGTCAACGCCGGCCCACGCTTTGAAGGTTTCCAGCTGAAACTTTGGTTGCGACATGTAACTATAGAAGTAGTTGAAGTCGCCGAGCTTCTGGGCTTTGAATCTGGCATCTGAGTACGCCGGATCAAATCGCTTATGATGTTCGATGTAAACATATACATTGTGCTTCTTGGCGGCTTCTATGAGCGCTTGGTGGTGCTCTAATGTCTTGACAGCAGGTTTAGTGATCAAGACGTGGATTCCGCGCTCGATTGCGTAAAGAGCTATTGGATAATGTGTTGTGTCCGGAGTGAATATAGTAATAGCATCGCCGGGCTTTAGAGCATCAATAGCAGCCTTGTAAGCATCGGGATCCTTGACGTCGTTCGCCGGGTACGAGTCGAAGGAACAATCCAAGCCGTTGTAGACTTTGGATATATTAGCATCAAGATGTTGCCCTATTCACATTAGCATACTCTGAGTCCATCGACTTTCCCTTTACACTAGGGCTAGGATTCGGAGGTGAGCTCACTAATGGCTGGAAACTTGGTCCCATTTGTTCCCACCATGCTCAGTTTAGCCACCTTTCCCCTCCTTCGGAGATCGAATAGAGTCAAGCCGACGACTCCTACTTTCTTATCCGACCCTGAGGCACCACCGCCGACAAATCCAGTGGTATATTCACCTGTTCCGACCTGACGGATGTCAATTTTAAGCAAGGATCTGCTAAGCATATGCCGTAGTGATACGCACCATCAACACGTTTAGTGGTGAGGGGGAACTTTTCGTTACGAGAGCGGATTTAATAGCTTCTGCCATTTTGATGATTGTTCTGCAGGTGAAATGATATCGAATACCTGTGGATATACAAGGGAGTCGAGTCTGGGAGAGGAGGAATGAAGAAAAAAAGTCAAGATGAGAGAAAAGGGGTAGACTCTTGTATAATTCAGGTAATGCTATAAGCTCGGGTACCTAATGTATTGTACCTGTCTAGGGTAGCTTAGATATTAGGTAGGTCATTGCGTTTGTTTCGAATATCATGTCATTGGAAGTTAAAGCTACCACTACAACTTTCTCGGACCTGTAAGTTGTCATAGACGGAAGAATTGAGGGGTAGCTGGAAAAATAAATCTTCAGAAACTGATATAATACTAGTAGAGCATAGGTTAAATATTTACAGCACCATTACGTAGAAATTAAGGATGAGCAACTATTCGAGGAGTTCAATTATGTTTACACGTTATAATATGAAAATAAAGTAAACCAAGTTGTGATTACATGTTATGAATTATTTGAGCTTGAAAAGGTTGAAGAGTTGAAGAGTTGAAGTAAGTTTTATTGTACCGGGTATTTTCACTGAAGCATTAGGTACCTCAGCAATAGGCGCCCCGCCCCCACCTATTTGGCGTTACAAGCAGGAACACCGGCTAGATGGAATTTTGAAAGCCCCGCGTTTGGTGGGGCAATTCACTTTCAAGACAGAAGGTCAGTGGGCGTCGGTCTATCATTGGCAGATTTCAGCGAAGTACCTCAATACAATACCACTTCCTCTATCCGAGTTTATTTATTTATTTTCTTTTCATCTTCTTTTCCGATCCAACAAGGCATAGCGTATACAACGCAGAACCACAGGAATATCAGACCAGAAACCACTTGAAATGAAGGGAATGCTAGAAGAAGCCACTCGTTTTTTATTCTCTTTTCATCTTCTTTTTCCATTTAGGATCGTAAGGTACGCAGAGTTACATCGCACCTAGATCACCAACGATGGCAATCCATGCAGTCCGTGGTTTCTGGAATATTGCCCGATGTTAATCTGGGCTGCATAGGAATACCCTGTTGCCTCTTGACTGGAGGAAAAACTTGTAATATGATTATTCCGTGGTATCTATACCACATTCAGCCTGGCCTGCAGAAGAAGACAAATTGAATACATGTAGGCGACAGACTGACTACCCCAGGAAGCCCAGAGGATATTGAACTGCTTGTTCACTTACACACTTAACTCTCCCTTCGCTCTGACTTGGGACAAACCACTTGACCTATCGACTGGGCCTCGCAAAGGCAACCCTCCAACAATCCCTCGGTCCTGCCAAGTGGACGGCATACCCTGACCCCGTCTTCTACTTGTTGCCTTCTCCAAAACCTCGAGGCCCCTTCCCGGGGCTTTCCTTTGGAGGGTCACAAGATGGCCAACACAAATTACGTCTTTACCTTTTTTTTTTTTTTTTTTTTTTTTTAGCTGTCAAGGAAAACAGCAATCATCTTGACAGCTCATCATCCACCGTGAGTTCTTTTTGTATTTTTGCTTTCCAGTGCCCAAGGCACGGCTTTCTCGGCTCTCAGTGTGATATATGCCATGTGCTTATTTTTTTTCACTAACGATAATGCCTTCATCAACCACTCTCAGTTTCTACCCGGTCCTAGTCAACCCTACTGCAGATTCTCATGATTCCCATCAGCCCAATTTATAAACCCACTACAAGATGTCACTTCGATTTGACCAATCATAGTGATGTAGCTGTAACTGCAAACGTCACCGCAGCTAATCCCACACAACATGAAGCTACCCATCTGTCTCCCAACTTATTCTTTGCATGAGCAGCTGTCGAATAAGACACATGGTCTCTTCAAGGAATAATTCAACCGTTTTTAGACCCTGGCCCTTTCCCCAAGTTCCCAATTGCGCTTTTGTAAACCATGCGGCCGAAACTCGTTGGGTAGCTTTGCAACCGCCCGACGGGTTTTATATGCGGAAATATATAATTCACGGTTGTAGATAATCTGCATGGCTCCCATGATCTACTTACGATATTAGCTGCGATATAACCCCGAAGCGTGTATGACCCGTATGTCCTAGGGCCGGTGAAGATTTCGGCTCATCCACAATCCACTTTGTGGTTTATCGATCCTGTAGAACATGGGTTCTTCACTATTCCGTATCACTCCGTTTTTCCTTAGCTCCCTTTTCCAAGGGGTATTTCGGGTTCAAGAGGCAACCAGTGTCGCCTTCTTCGGACCAATGTCGTTACGAGCAAAACACTAGGACCTCGGGAGCTAGTCAGACGTTATTGACCCACACTCCACAAGGCGTTGCATACAACATAGGGGATAGAAAGCCATTATGTTATGAAAAGAAGGAGAGAGTGTCCCGTTGCCGTCTATCTAGTATTGCACTTCGAAAGCTATAAATATAGCTACGAGTCCTCTTTCCTTTACTGTCGTCTCCCTTTTCTCGGCGCCCCCTTTCGTGGTTATACTACTCTCTTTACGCTACCTATATTTCGCGTAAGTCGATCCGTAAATCTAATAGCAGCGTCATCATTACTCTTACCTTCACCTTTTCACAACTCAATTATAAAGCATGACTGTCTCTAACAGTACTGAGAACAATGGTCACGCGACCGCGAGGCGGCCACTCCCATGTGGCATCTATGCCCCCACCATGACATTCTTCGACCCTGAGACCGAAGAGCTCGATATCCCTACTATCAAAAAGCATGCCGAGCGTTTAGCTAGAGCTGGACTAGCTGGTTTGGTCACTATGGGTTCCAATGGGGAAGCCATTCACTGCACGCGCGATGAAAAGGTAGCAGTGACACGCGCCACCAGAGAAGCTCTGGATGCCGCAGGTTTTGCTACAACGCCGATCATCGTAGGAGCTACGGAAGGCAGCGTAAAGGGGACCATCGAACTCTGCAAGGCGTCTGCGGCGGTTGGAGGGGATTACGTGTTGATATTACCTCCGAGCTACTTTCGCGCTCAAATGGATGAGGAAGCTATAGTTGGTTATTTTACAGCCGTAGCAGACGAGAGTCCATTACCAATCGTCCTATACAACTACCCTGGCGCAGTTGCTGGTATCGACATGGATTCGGATCTCCTCATCAAGCTTGCCGAGCACCCTAACATCATTGGTACGAAGTTCACATGTGGCAGCACCGGCAAACTTACTCGCGTAGCACTAGCTACCAACGCGAAGACCCCTACCTCGGAAGGTAGCGGGTATATGGCGTTTGGTGGCATATGCGATTTCACAGTCCAGACGCTAGTATCGGGAGGAAGCGGTATCATTGCAGGCGGCGCGAATGTCATGCCTAAAGTCTGTGTCAAGGTTTGGAACCTATATGTCGAAGGGAAGATAGACGAAGCCATTGCGCTACAAAAAGTACTTTCGCGAGGCGACTGGTTCTTGACTAAGGCAGCCATCGCAGGCACAAAACAGGCGATTCAATCTTATTTTGGCTACGGCGGATACCCCCGGCGCCCGCTCAAGCGTCTTGAGCAGGCCAAAATCGAGTCTATAGCGGAGGGAATAAGAGAAGTGATGGAAGTCGAAAAGTCACTATAACGACAAGAAATGGGTTACCGGGATCTTGGTCTCAAACCCACAGGGGACTGGCTATATGCCGTCGATATTAGCCGCGTGGCCGTTAGTCTCCTATTCTTGGACGGTGCGGGGTTCGAATCCCGGGGTGACGGGTGAGGCTCTTGGAGGGTGGAAAACCCTTGGGATTCCCAATTCTTTCTTGGCCGACTAGGTTATTGGCCATGGACGTAGGTATCGTTGCGTCGTTACCTAGGACCTACACACAACGCGCACATGCAAAACACATGATACGTTTCACGGAATCTGATGTCTCTCTATGCCGCTTTTCGGATATTGATCGAAGCCTTGGAAACGTTCTTTAGTCCTAACGATCCGCTGTTTCCGGTGAAGAACCACTGGTTCCCCCCTATGTTTATTGGGTATTTTGGCAACCGTGCCCTATCGCGAAACAGGGAGGGGAAAAGAAGCTGGCGCTCGCTGGCTGGTCTGTCCTGCTCTTGTCCTGCTACTTCTATCTTCAAGTCTGTCTTGCTGGCTCTACGGCTGAGCCAAGACGTCTTTTTTATGTCTTCGTTAGCATAGCATAGCATAGCAAATGCAATATTACCTAAAGCTTCAAAACCCTCCTACTACCTACATAGCGTCCCTTCGGAAAGAAACGGACATGCCCATAAAGTCTACCATATACGTCTCTGACTCCATTGTGCAACCGTTTGGAAGTAAGAAGTGGGAATCTTACATATCACATGTTCTATTTTCCATAGTCACGCCTCCGATAAACGTTTCCTACGAGTGCACAGATCAGCATCGAGAGAACGTGATCCGCGTAGCATCTTGCATCGCTCGTTAGGACGTATGGCACCGCACGTACGCACGTACCGCATATATTACTCGAGGAGTGACGTATCACACCCCTCAGCCTACCTATGGTAGGTATTTATTTTTCCCGGGGTCCCCATCCCCTTCATGCGCCTAGGGTCCTTAAGGGTCTTTAAGGGTCCTCGGGGCAAATACATAGGCAAGTACCTAACCCAAGGTAAGGAGCTTAATGAGGTTGCATGTATTTTGGGCGCTACGCGCAATATAGCTCGCGGCGATCCGTAAGGCATTAATGTTGATCCCTGGCAGCACGTCACTTTACCCCACGGGGACTTGTTGCTCTCCCACGATAGGTACGGCAGCGCAGCCCCTCCCCTCACCTGCGATCCCCGCGTTGCCAGCTTGTCTAGGTGTGTGTGTGTGTGTGCGTGTACGGCTCGGTCCGTTCTCCTTCGTCTAGATAAGGTTGGTCACCTGCCCTTGTGACATTCCCTTGGCGGCGACGGCGGCAACGAAATAAAATAATAACGGGCTATTTAGTATCGTGGCATCGTGAGACTGGGAGTATTACACGCGCGAAGCTCTGATACTACGTACGCAGCCTTTTCCTTAGGTCTTAAGTCGGGAACACGCACACATTCCCTTCCCCTCCTCCAAACCCCACACATGCAAGCGAGGTAAGCTATGCATGATGTACGTCCCACAGCTGTTCTCAGCCTCTCCCAAAATCTGGTTGGCATGTGGGTTAGACGTATTATGCGGGATATACCAATGATGTCTTGCCCTTAGCATCTCACATTATGCCGCCATTGGACAAGGGAAACGCAAAAGCCCTTTCCCTCAAACCCAATCCCATCATCCCACGCGTCTTGTCGTCATAGTCGCCACACGACTTCTTCTTAAGTTGTCCTACCGACATTTATTTTTTCCCTTCTATGTCTTGCATCGTCCTATCATACCTTAAACTTTCTCGGGTCCAGCTCCGCGACATCGGCGCTCCTTGCCTCTCCATCAAAGATAAACTCACTCATGAGCTTGCCCGTTGCTGGACCGTTCTGAATTCCCCAGCAGGTATGGCCCGACGCTATCCATAGCCGGTGGACCGAGGTGCCGCCAATAAGCGGCGCGCTCTCCTTACCAAAACGCATATGCCGTGGTAAGTAACAGGCTTGTTTTGCGGCAATTGACGCAGAGCCTAGCACGGGACTCACAGTACCAATATATGAGATAAGGTCGTCGCACTGAGATTCGTCGCATTCGACCTGGTCGGCGGTTGCCGGTAACGGTATTATCGAGTCTGGTTCGCCACATGCATACACCTCTCCGCCTGGTCGTGCATAGATCTCAGGGTCTACGTTGCCTTTGTGCTTTCGCTTCTCTCCACGCGCGGCCCTGTGCGCCGGTACCCAGTCATTTGGTAGGGAAATATCAGTGAAAACAGCGTACGGGCTGACATCGGCTGCGAACACGACGCTGTGCGCCCTTAGACCCTCTACTTTGGTCTTCGGCCAAAGACGCCCTGTCCATGGGCCTGCGGCCACCACGACGTCGGTTACACCTTCTAAGGTTCGCGTTTCGCCCGTCGCACGATCTAGATATTCGACGCACGAAACAGCCACCTCGGACTTACTTAGACCGATCCCTGTAACCATACTATTAACGCGTATTTCGACTCCACGTTGACGCGCCAAAGCTGCCATTGATGTTGTGAATTGATATGGGTGCACTTGCGCCGTCTCGGTGAAACCCGGCAGTCCCATCTCGGCGTATTCGCGCACCAAACTAGCATTAATCCAGTCAAGATCTTTAGGCAGGACAGAACGATGAAGTAATGAAGCTGCCTTTTCATCCTGCTTAGGTAATTTTTGCCATTCCACCTGGCCATCAGTCACGGGGTTCTCTTGCCCGTCTTGCTGTTTGATAACGCCGCGACTAGTCCTTTTCCTCGACTTAGTGGAGCTGTTCGGTAGCTTCTTGTTCCCCACCTTCGCCGTAAGTTGTCCGCACCCGAGTCGCCTATAACCCCATCTGTCGGCACCGCCGTGTTCGGCAGCAAGCTCGGCGTGAAGGCGATAGGAAAGCGGAACTAGACATGCTGGGTAAGCCCAAAGACCCAGGAGACCTCCTGCCTTCCCAGATGCAGCAGACGCTATTGATGTAGCCTCGAGGAGAGTAATGTGGTGAATCGCGGGAATATAGGAAGGATGCCGGGTCAGATAGTAGGCCGTCGTTGTGCCAATAACGCCACCACCTTAAGAGATTCGAATTAGTGATTTTTAGGTACTACCATATGCAGTAATACGCCTCTCCAACGTTGATCATGAACAAATTAAGCTACAGAAACCGTAGCAGACAAGAGTATGCGGATGTTATGAGCAGAATGGGCAAGACAAATAAGGGTGAGCAAGGTGAGACAGAGTCACTCACCTATGATCACAATATGTCGCGGTTGAGGTATACGACTCTCCATAATAATAATACCGTAGTATATTTTAACATGACCAAGCCAATGATCATATTAAAAAGGGAGTCCAGGATCTAGGAAAACCTAGTTGATGGAAGCTGGGATTAGCCTTTTTCCAAGTGACTAGGATTCATTCACAAGCTACTATGTAAGTAGAGTTACTATTGAAGTAACTACCTCCTAGGTACGGTGGAACGAAGGGCGAAAGTGTCACCGAAATAAACTCGCAGGTTTGTGGACGTGGAGCTTCTTCGGATCTACCCGTCGATTACCGTAACACCGATTGCTACCCGGGTTCTGGTATTATTAGTTGCAGCAGATGCAGCAGGTAGGCGTAGGTATACAATGCAATACATTCGATTAGATACCTGATGGGTATTGAGTGGTCTTTACTCGAGGCTACCTTGCCTAGATTCCCAACAAAAAGAAAATAAGAAAACATTAGGTCAAGTACCTAAGGTACGATGGTATGATGTTGAAGTAGCAAAATAGAACGCAGCCAGCCCATTAGAATGGAAATTTCTAATAGGTCAATCCATCAGAACGCACCTACCCAGTCACCAGTGCAGGCGGGCTATGTACCTAGGTACCTAACTTGTAAGCAGCTCCGGAACAAGGAGAGCCCAAGTTCCTAAAAAAAAAACCCTCTATTCCACATCTGATTGGTCCTGCGAGACTATAAGACCCGCCCGCATCGAGTTCTTGCCGAGGCTTCAGACTACAATTGTTACGTCAAGAAACTTGAAACCTTTAAAAGAATGAACAAGTTACAATTTACGCAAAGATTATAAAATAGAGTTTTCATGAGACTTGGGAGCCGTTCACCTGGGCAATGATTATAAAAAGCCGGTTTTCAATTCATCCGATCTTTACTAATCACATCTGCAAAGTGACCTCACCACCATCATCTGCACTACAGAGACGAGCGTCGTCTTCTATCGTTCGATTAGGGAACCAAAGATACCCCGCCAATAAAGTCACTATCGCGAATCGCGCCATCCTAAACACGGATGCTTCGGCCAATATCCCGCAACTACAATCAAAACGAGTAATCCCACTCAACGCCAAATTTAATACCAAAGTCAACACCAAGTCAATCACTACTGCCACAATGGCTTCTGCTACCACATTCTACGATTTCACGGTCAAGGACAGTATGTTAACCCATAAGCTACCTACCTAATGTATACAACCCCGCGAGAATATGAACTAACCATAGTCAAATCAACACCAACAGAGAAGGGTGCCGAACTGCCCCTAGCCGACTACAAGGGCAAAGTTGTCCTGGTCGTCAACACAGCATCCAAGTGCGGCTTCACGCCGCAGTATGCCGGACTGGAAAAACTGTACAAGGATATCACGGCCAAATACCCTAATGATTTCACCATCCTAGGCTTCCCGTGCAACCAATTTGGTGGCCAGGAGCCCGGCACCGACGATGATATCCAAAGCTTCTGCCAGCTTAACTACGGCGTCACCTTCCCCATCCTAGGCAAGACGGACGTAAACGGCGACAAGGCCGAGCCCGTGTTCGAGTGGATGAAGGCCGAGAAGCCCGGCCTCCTGGGCATGAAGCGCGTCAAGTGGAACTTTGAGAAGTTCCTGATCGGCAGGGACGGCAAGGTCAAGGAGAGGTGGGCTAGCACTACGAAGCCCGAGAGCTTGGAATCCCACATCCTGGCGGAGCTAGAGAATAAGGCGTAAGTCTGTCTCTAACTTGTGCTTGGAAACCTTTCTTGCTTTCTTTGGACGTCTTGTGGCTGTTTTATATATGTGTGTGTGTGTGTGCGTTGACGCTTCACCCTTAGGGTAGCTAAGATATAATACAAGATGATCTCCCCCCTTTCTAGGAAAGCAATTTGGAAACAAGATTCGCGTGGAAGGGATGAGTCCGCGGTTCCTGTTTAGTCAACTGTCTAGGTGCTATAAACATATACCTACGTCTAGAAATCAAATTTTATAGTACCCAATATATATCGACCTACGGTATTGAGGTATCTGTGTTTGGTGTGGAATGCAGGCTCGTAATACAGCACAAATATAATAGTGCAATTATTGTTGCCTGAGAGATTTCTATCTCTAATATATACCATTCACAAGTGGAAAACTCACATTTCTATTAACCCAAGCATAGGGTTAGGTACTTATAAGTAGTATATCTCTTCAGCTACATTTAGGTGTTCCATAGTATTCTTTTGGAAGAATTTAATTTAGTGAGTCTATTTTTGTATATAAACCCTTTTGCAGTACGGAATAGAGGTGAAGATAGTTTCTCTGCAATCACTGCAAATAAGACCTTCCATCGGGTTTGGGTTAAGATCTAGGTTGATAATAGGGGCATAATCAAAAACTCACCCTATTACTATGAATAGCCTCTTTTCATTGTCCCATATAAGTTATTGAAACTGGAATATGCATTAAGCCACGACTAGATATATTATCCATGGCTGTACTTGCAAGTCGTGAAGCGAATATCAGGTAGCCTGGTAGTCCGGGAGAAACTTGCCCAGCCATATAAACGATTCATGACATCTAACGGATCACAATTTTCCAAACAGATAATTTTATTTATTTATCTGATTAAAATATTGAGACCAAAGTCACTTTTAATTATCATGTGCCTATCAAAATGCACTACCGTCGAGAAGTACGTCCCGCTGCCCGCTTCTTGGTTGCCAGGCAGCCATAGTAGACATAAGTAAGGTTTCTACAAGTCATACTCCCAGCCCTCCGGGTGAAGCGAAACCAAAATGGTCGTGGTGGAACAGCACCCCTTTCGGGTCATGAAATAACTCTGCGAGGAGTTTTTCGTAGGGCTTGGGTTCGATTCCATTGCAGGGCGGCAGTAGACCAGCTGTTCAGGTCAAGTGCAATGTGTCGACTCCCCGAGTTCCAAGCTTTTCTTTTCTTTTTTCTTTTTTGTTTAATTAAAAAATACATTATTTTCTCCATGTTATATCCCATTCCAGAATTACAATGCAACTTTACTGCCTTGCGTGTATGTATCTAATGTTCAACGTCGCCAAACAAACGACTGTCAACTTTTCCTATACCTAAACTTCTACCTATTCCTGCTGATCCCCGTCGTGGAAAAGATAATAAGCAACTGGAGTCTGGTGTAGTCTTATATATAGGTACCTAATGTAGGCCAATACCGCTTAATGACCACATCCGACTATGCTAAAGCATGGCAAATGGTGCGTTAAGTTGATGACTACAGTTACGAAATAATCCTCGAAGCATATTCAGGGTTCTTCGATCAATCCATCCACTAGCAGCTAAGTCAGCGGCATCATTGCAATATGTTGTGTCATGATCTTTCTAAGAAATAAGATTTACACTGGTTACGGCAAGAAAATCCAACATTAATACGTATTTAGCACTTATATTACAACATTATCAAAATACATACAATTGAAAACTTGTCACATACTGTAGCAGCCTTTCCAGGTCTGAACTCGTACTCTCGTGGTTATTAACTAACTGAGGGAACCATGAGCTTCGGAGAGACATGTAGCGCGTGACTGAACTGAATACGCATGTTTTCTTCAAATGGGACCGTGATGCTAATCTGGGATATTACCTGCCTAGGCAACTATGAGCTTTTCTTTCCTGTTATCCATTGACATTGTCATAGGTAAGCTAACCGAACTTCTTCAAAACACCAATTCTGCCAGATAGTAGGACATTAACTATACTTAACATTCTCAAAAGTTGGGTACATCGTTGCTTTTCCCTATAGTTGCCTACAGCTGCATCAATGTTGCGGTAACATGTCTACCTATTACATATACAATGTACCTAGTATGGATGGATGAACTGGACACGACATATCGGTTAGTCGGGATATTCAAATTATTCGTAGGTTCCAAAGAGAACATTTCGAAGTTCAAGATGATTCGTATTAGCATAATAGTTCTCTGTTAACCTATCCGCTGAGATAACATGGTCAACTATTCCAGGATTGGGTCACATTGTATCAGCCATATTGTTTAGGAAACAATGCAGTGCAAGATCTATCATCTTATTAGTGTTGAATTTACTTGACCTGGAAGGCACCTAGGTAGGTTCGACCTCGTCGCGTAACTAACGACTTTCGAAGGGCTTTCGTCTCCCTGCACCAAAAAAGCCTTAATATGTCATTATTACCTACACAGAACGGCAACATTCGAATAGGTATTTTTTCTACAATGGATTCAGCCTAGCAAACCCTTCTAGGCAAGAAATGGAGAGAACATAAGTTCTCTGGTATGGATGCTCGACAAGGTGAATACGGCTGATCATCATCATCTAAACCGCCGCATTTCTGCCTAAACAGTATCCCCAACGCCAAAAATTGAAGTCCTATCCTTTTGTTTCTCACAGCCAAATCCGCACAGACAGTTTTACAGGGGAGTCGCTAATAAAGACAAGGTAAGAGAGCTAGAAATAGCATTGCCGGCACCAACCTCTCTGGCTCGGAGCTGCGTGGGCGCGAGGAGCTTTTCGCTCACTAACGCCCCGAGCCGCAGCTTGGGCGATCCTAACCCAAAAAAAGAAAGGCGAAAGACGAAAAAAGCTCTGCAAGGCTTTTCTCCTCTGCAAGTCGCGACGACGATGACGATGACAAGGATTAGGTTTTACGAAAGAATGACAAATGTGCCGGAAACCCATTTGTCTCCGTGCATGCGGACCCTTCCCCTGTAGGATGCCACGAGGAACAGGAAAAAAAAAGGAACATGGCATCGTGGTTTTTGGTTTGGTCTGGTCTGGATCTTTTTTACACAGGACGTGGGCAAGGTTGCTATTTTGGGAGTCTTGGCCATGCGAAAAATGAAATACCTATAACGAACGGTTTGCAGCGAACAAAGGTGGGCCGTAATTCGAAACCCCTAAAGAGTGAGAGAGCCTCAACTCATCATCCTTCGAAGCCTTCAAAACCCCAACCCATGGGCGTCAGCAACGAGTGAAAGCGGAAATCAAGCGGAGCAAAAAAGGAAATGTGCCGCAGCTGAGAGAGCGAGCGTACATGTAAGTAATATTTTGAGAAAGACATGCAGAGAGAGAAAGAGACAGAGCCAGGGTTTCCGCCGTCGAGATCGCCTTCGCACCATCCTGCGGCCCAGTCAGATGGCACTAATAATAATAAGAGGAATAAAAGAAGAAATCATAGTTCAAATTAGGAATTATCACGCTGTAATCCAGCCATCCATCGCTGTCGCTATCCAAGTGGGGTCTCTTTTGGCGAAATAACGTGTGAGGTAGGTATTGCTATTCCAGGGGGTGAGAAGCAGCCGCGAGAAGAACATACAGTTCTTTTCGATCCTATCCGAACTTCCCCTCGGTCTGTTCAAGGCCATATTTCTCTTTCCCCCATTCATGTTTTCTTTCTCTCTATCTGTGGATATCGGTAGCACGACAGTTGATCTGCATGAGCACGCACATGATGATGGGTCTCCAGAATTTCGGGGCCAACTAAGGCCAAGGACCGTAAGAAACAAGAACGAGAGAGAGAAGGGGGAGGGGGATTGCCGTTTTGCCGTAGTCGGTTCGTCGTGAGCGCCAAGACCTCTAGTGGTCTTATATAGGTATTATTATCTTTCTGAAAAACTTTCTGTACAGCCGCGGCACGTCTGGAGGTCCAACAAGCAGAAGTGAGAAAAACAACTTTCGAAGGATGAGGTACTCCGCCACCCTGATTGGTGCGTTTTTGCAACGCCGCATCTCCATCTCCGAACCTAATCTGTTTTCAGCTAGCAGTGCCATATAAGTAGATATCAACGCGGCGTAGTCGAGACTGACTTGGATAAGTCCGGCGACGAGAGTGGAGATGATTAAAAACTATCCTCGACAATAGCAGAAGAACTCCAGTTATTTGACAGTATATCGATCCTACGGCTATTGTTTAGATAAACTTCGGCATACGGAAACGTGGTGGTTGTCCGTGCTTTTTTTTTATGTCGTTGAACGTCGCGCCCCGCATTATCATGTCAACACGTCTTCATCCACATAGGGACCCAAAAAAGGGCTCCTTATACGGGTAAGCTTATGCCCCTACTATGGATACGGATATGACAGACGCCATCGTGCCGCAAAGGAAAATCGCTTTCTCCAACCTGACGTCTTCATCCTCATCCTCCAGGTAGAGTGTTTTGACTAGTTAGAGACTACTAAGAACTACTAAGATTTGGGTGTGTTGGCAACAAGCATGAACGAGGAATTACCTACTTCTCGGCCACCCCTGGAAAAGGTACCGCCAAGATAACGAGGGAGCTTATTCCATCTTGTCCGGCGATGGTCCTAATTACCCTCTATATTGAATACGGTGAAGTTGTCGGGAAATTTTCTGATTGCGGATCTTACGAGAGATGCTCTCTAATCAACTTTTCTCCATGACTTGAGACATCGAGGTGACCACTGAGCTACATCGGAAAGGAGTTGAATACCAGTCTCCTTGATGGTTGCATAAGGGATACAAGCCGACCAGGATTGGGATCAAGGTACTTCACGAGTACTTGTGGAATCGATGGTGGGCCTTTCGCTCTCCTAACAATGATTGATCTCATGGTGAAGATAGGCGTGCATAATAAGTTGATTTTGATTACGAGCCACGAAGACAGCGTCTATCCCGCCCTCTTCGCCACCAGATCCATGTCTCAGAGGCCCTCACAATATGGCTAGCCCGAAGCGCGACATCTACCAGGGACATATGCTGGTTTCGAACTACATTACTCGCAGACATGATTATACCTGGTCTAGAATATCTCGATGCTAGGGTTCTTGTAGATCAATCCCCACGATGCACTAGGGGGGAGATGGAAGGCAACGAAAAATACAGAAATGGAGATGCACTATTTACGTTTCGACCGAGGTCGATATCGTGAGCACGTAAAAGTCACGTCTAGCGAGCCACGTCTAGGAATCCCTGTACAGCTCGTTAGCTATCTTATCCCGTGGCCTTAAAAGATTTCCCTGCAGAGGCGTCGTGGATAGTCCATGGAACTCCTGATTTCGAACTTCGGACTCCTCCGTGGACAAGTTCCTGTAAGTGGCAATGGAGACTGATAAGCACTTTAAGCTCCCGTTGGAAGCGGCTCGGTAGCCACGAGCTTGAATGTATTGATTAAGCCCTCCTGATTTGAATGAGTTCGCTTTCCTCACCTGGATATTGAACCAGTGCCTGGCTCGCCTAATAACCCGCCATGCCAATTTCAGGCCACCGAAGAGCCCTCAACCGAGGCAATTGCCATTGTATTACATACCCCGGGACCGATATACCGGGCCGAATGAAGAGCTTGAAAGCATATATCCTGTACGAGAGA